GAATTCAGGAGCCAAGCACCCTGTGGAGTCACCTTGGGCGAGTCTCCTATCCTGCCTCAAGGGCTGCCGGAGGATTAAACTGCCTAGTCTCTCGGAACAGGACAGAAAGCCTCCGGGTTTTGTTGGATGTGCAGTTAATCCTCAAAATAGTTCTTCATTCATACCTGGTCACAGGACCACTCCACCTGCCTCCTTTCCTGCCTGACATTTGTATACCACTACAGTAAGTTCTCTACATTTGAAAACTTTTGCTTCCAGAAAAAAAAAAAGTGTTAGCTTGCCGGGCAGGAGAGCTGCATCGATCTCCCTACTCTTAATCACTCAGTGATTACACGGTAGTGGTGGGGGTGAGTGGAGGGGTCTCTCAAGACCCTCCGTCTTCTCTTCCCTCCCCTCTCTTCAGGGGTCTATAGAGGACCTCACCCCTACCTATGCCTTCAGTTGCCTCCAGAAGATCCATGGCAGCTCCCACGAGCTCCAGACCTAACTTCTTATTTGGCACTTGCAGCTGGATGCTGCATGGGCACCTCAAACTCCCCTTCTCACCTCCCTCGCCTCCCTTCGGGTTCTCCTCCTGTGTTTCTTGTCTCAGGGAGCACTTCTGCCCTCCATGCCACTCAGCAAGCTAGAAAACCTGACACTCTCTCGCCCTACGGCTTGCTCCTCACCAAGCCGGGCTGATTTCACCTCCTAAATACGTCTCCGGTCCGTCCATCTCTCTCCCTTTCCACTGCCCTGTCTCTCAATTCAACGACTATAATCTCATCCCTGGAAGACCACCCCAGGTCCCAGCCCTCCTCCCACACCCTCCAGTCCATCCTCCAACACAACCAATGGATCTTCAAAAATGCAAATCTCATCATATGATCTGCAGCTGAATAACCTTGAATGGCTTCTCACTGCTTCCAAGATAACGACCAAAATCCTGAACAAAGACTACAGAGCCCGCCTGCCTGTCCCTCTCTCATCCATCTCAGCCGGTCTCGCCCAGCCCCAGATCTCCACACTGGCCTTCGCTCCCGCCCCCGTCAGGGTCACTGTAAACCTGGCTCCTCCCACCCTACCCGCACTTCCACCCTCACCTATTTTGCTCAGCTAATTGCTCTGTTTCTCTCAGATCTTATTCCCTAGGTCACTTATTGGGGGAAACCTTTGCTGGCTTGAGTCAAGCTCAGGGTCCTCTGCTGTAATAACTCTCAGCACCTTATACTTTCCCTTCTTGATGAACAACACAGACTAGCATCACACGGTTATTCGTCGCGGTTGGAGCCCATCTCCCCCACCAGCCTGTAAGCTCCGTGAGGGCAGAGACCATGCCTGACTGCATTAAACCCATGCTTACTTAACAGACATTTATGAAAGTCTATCACGTGTCAGAAACCATACATTAGTTCTCCTGAATTATGTAAGTTAAGGGTTTAGGTAGGATCTCACCCTATAGGGCATGGAAAACAGTAAATTTCTGAGTGGATCTGCAAGGTGGGACAAAGAATTAAAATGATGCCAAGTGCAAGAGCAGGGGAGAGAGCTCCAAAGAGATGCAAGGCATGAGCATGGGTTAGGCAAACAGGGCAGTGGGCAGACCCCAGAGGACAGCTGACTAAGGGATGGAGAACTGGACGGTTGGAGCTTGGCAAAGGACAGGAAATAAAAGAAAAAAACAAGGTTAGTTGCCCACACCACAGCGTTTCTAAGGCCAGTTCACCCTCCCCTTGTCAAAAGGCTTTACTGAATGTTCCAGTTGCCCAGCAGAGAAGTGACCCAAGAGAATCCCAGAAATAGAACAAAATTTCATACAGCCACTCCCTGCCTTGCCAAGCGCTCCTCCCCACTCTCCTACTCCTGCCAAATTGCAAGGAATCGTCCACCAGCCGCAGGTGCTGAATTATTCAATAATTTTAGCAGCTTTCAAAACACTTGTGCAGCTAGAAAATCTCCCCAAAAGAAAAGAATTGTGTTATTTAGGCTACTAGGTCATTTCTTGAACCTCTCTTGAATCCTGGTTGGCCACGTAATTGTTCTTTCAATTGAACAGTAGCTCATGGACAGCCCACCCTTCCTAGCAAAAACAGTGGCAAACATATAATCACAAGATGATCTGCTGCTAACTCTGCAGTTATAAGCAGGCAGGTTACCTGCCAAACCTGCACAGCCATCCCTAGGCTCCTGCACTTACCCAAGACTGAGATCTGATGCAGCACCTGAAATAAGTACCAAACGCGGCAGCAGAGAATCTGAAGAACAACCTCCAACTATCCATTATTCCCCTACACACACACCAAGCTGCCTTGTTTCAGTGAAAAAAAAAAAGGGCTGGGGGGGGGACTGCTACCTTCTAACCTCCGTCACCAAGCGAAACCCATTAAAATAATCTGTCCGAGCCTGGATCTGGAAACCCTTGTTCAGCACCTCACCCACAACCCACCCACCACTGCACGTCAGCCCTCTGAGCTGTTTTCTTTGAGCAGAACAAACCAAAGAGAATGTTTCAGGGAAAAAGAAAAATGAGTCACGAAACAAGCCTTTAAGGCTCCATTTTAGGACAGAGTTTCTTCAGGAATCCCCTATTTCTGGCTCTGAAGAAGCAGAGCATGAAGATGAATTGGGCAAATAAAAATGCAAATATTTGCCAGCGGTGACTTTTAACCCCAAATCGATTATAAGACTCACATAGGAGAGAATGATATTTTTCATCTAATCAAAAACAATCAGAGCCCCCAGAGTCTTGGGCACTGCCCTCTAAACCTCAAATATGGCTACCAGGGAGTGAATTGCAGTAATAGACAGAGGCGCATCTCACTGCAAATAGATTAAGGGAACCTTGTAAACAGTCACTTGCCCACACTAAGCATGTATGTCAGGGGCTTCCCTGGTGGTGCAGTGGTTAAGAATCCGCCTACCAATGCAGGGGACACGGGTTCGAGCCCTGGTCCGGGAACATCCCACATGCCGTGGAGCAACTAAGCCCGTGTGCCACGACTACTGAGCCTGTGCTCTAGAGCCCGCGAGCCACAACTACTGAAGCCTACACACCTAGAGCCCGTGCTCTGCAACAAGAGAAGCCACCACAACGAGCAGCCCGTGCACCGCAACGGAGAGTAGCCCCCGCTCACCGCAACTAGAGAAAGCCCGCGCGCGGCAACAAAGACCCAACACAGCCAAAAAATAAATTTTAAAAAATTAAAAAAATTTAAAAAACCCTTCCCCCGAAAGCCTTCAGGGAGTTTGGGTCAAAAAAAAAAAAAAGAATGTACGTCAGCCAAGTGACGGGGTGGGGAGGGGATGAGTGCTAGGGAATAAGACATTTGCTTGTTCACATGGGTGGTTGCAAGGCAGGACCAAGCTCCACCATCATCCATTCTTTCCCAAGTGCCCCAGGATGCCAACAGTTATGGGGGAAAAAAAGCACACGCTCATGCCTCATTCTTCCTTACCATTTCTCCACCTGTTTAGCTCCATCTCCAGATGCTGGAGAACATTCTTCAAAGTCTTGTTTTTCTCTTTCTCTTTTTCATATTTCTTCTTCCATTCTTCCGCTGTCAGCTCCAGGTTCACAGAGACTGTATTCTTGATGGTCTTAGCCCTGAGGTGAAAAACATAAGGGAAAAATTCTGAGCATAGCTACTAGCATTCGCTAAATCATGAATATAATTAAGCCTCAAATTCCTTTCATGCCAGAAGATTGGGACTTGGGGAGCACGAGGGACCCTGGAACTTTTACCTATCACCCTCCTAACTGTATTAATGGCACCACTATTCCTAAGGCTCTAAACTCACCTTTCCGTTTTTATTTCTCCTTTACTTCCTGCCAGTCTCTAGATCCAGTGGGAGTTTCTTTCTTTTTTTTTTTTTTAATGAATTTATTTATTTATTTATGGCTACGTTGGGTCTTCGTTGCTGTGCATGGGCTTTCTCTAGTTGTGGCGAGCGGGAGCTACTCTTCGTTGCGGTGCGCGGGCTTCTCATTGCGGTGGCTTCTCTTGTTGTGGAGCACGGGCTCTAGGTGCGCAGGCTTCAGTAGTTGTGGTGCACGGGCTTAGTTGCTCTGCGACATGTGGGATCTTCCGGGACCAGGGCTCGAACCCGTGTCCCCTGCACTGGCAGGCGGATTCTTAATCACTGCGCCACCAGGGAAGTCCCAGGATTTTCATTCGAATTATCTCTTGGGGTCTTTCTCTATTCCCTCTGCCACCACCTTGGTCTATGTTCTCAGTAACAACTTATGGTTACAGCGTTTTTCAAACATTCAGCATCCTCCTTTAAGCATCTTACATACCACTGCCAGATTCATCTGCCCAAGTAGAGCTTTCTTTCAATTCAGTTAACTATGAAACACTGGGGATATACCAAGACAAACGAGACAAGGTCTCTGGCCTTGGAGCTTACAGTTTCTCATACCAATAAATACACAGACAAATCAGCTGTTTCTCTTACCCACATTTGGTACCTAGAATCATCCCTGATGTGTTTAACACATGCCAACACATGACACCCGAGACAGGTGGGTCACTTTATGAACTCAGCCCGGCCAGGTGAGACCGTGGCTCCCTGCTGGGCACATCCTTCCCCACCACCCAGGCAACTGTCACCAAGTACGAGTGGAGGGCCCACTTTTCTCAAGAAAAGTCAGAAATTAAGATTTTTATTTGTATCTCCCAGTTTAAGACAATTCTTCAGAATGATGTGTGGGACAAACAAACATGTCTAATGGACACCATTTTGCCACTTGGGGTATAAGAGATGGAGTGGCCTCCTAGGATGGATGGCCTGGGAGGGAGTGTGATGCCACAGTGCATTTTTGAACAGTATCTCAAGGGAGCAAGAGGTAAGAGTTAAGGCACGGGGGGCTCCAGCCAGTAATGAAAACCAAATACATGATTCACTGACTTATGCACAAAAATGAACACATAAGCAGATCTGTCCAATTAAAAAGTAAATTGATGGAGGGAGATGCAAGAGGGAAGAGGTATGGGGACATATGTATATGTATAACTGATTCACTTTGTTATAAAGCAGAAACTAACACGCCATTGTAAGGCAATTATACTCCAATAAAGATGTTTAAAAAAAAAAAAGTAGGGCTTCCCTGGTGGCACAGTGGTTGAGAGTCCGCCTGCCAATGCAGGGGACACGGGTTCGTGCCCCGGTCTGGGAAGATCCCACATGCCGCGGAGCGGCTGGGCCCGTGAGCCATGGCGGTTGAGCCTGCGCGTCCGGAGCCTGTGCTCCGCAACGGGAGAGGCCACGGCGGGGAGAGGGCCGTGTACCGCAAAAAAAAAAAAAAAAAAGTAAATTGACGATGGCAGAATTCCACTTATTGCATACTTCTGAAGAAGTAAAAACTTCATTTAAAAATATGTGATATGCTGTTTTATTTGCTATTGACTTTTTCATTTTAAACTCCCACCAGTTCTTGTCCTGTCACATTTGCTGGCACTATCTGATGTGTGATTCGGCTTAATTACTGTTGTAATGAAATGACATTTTGGACATGATTTCTATTTCAGTGAAAGAAATTCAGCAGTCCTCACCAGTGCTGCAGACGTCATTCCAAAAATTAATTCCTAAAGCAGACAACTAAATAACCCAACTGTCAAAAGAGGAGTTAAATGATTTCAATGTAATCATTTCAGTGTAATTCTCCCTCACTCACTGTAGCTTAAGGCTGCTGTCCCCAGAAGTGGTTCAACTCTAATTTTTCAAATAACAGCAATCTTACTGCTACTTTAAAGTCTACGCCAATTTGACACTTTCACCTCACCTTCTAACATCCTCAGGCAGTGTCATGGGTGTTTCTGTGTCATGGGTGTTTCTCAGATACAAGCACAAACACTGCAGCATCCATTATCAACTTAGTTTAGTAAGAAAGTGAACAATAACGTATGGCTGAAATGCTTGTGGACATTTAAGAGTATACTTTGAGGCTACTAATTTTTTTTTTAACATGATTTCTTCCTTCCTTCCTTCCTTCCTTCCTTCCTTCCTTCCTTCCTCCCTCCCTCCTTCCCTTCATTTCTGCGTTGGGTCTTTGTTGCTGCACATGGACTTTCTCTAGTTGTGGTGAGCAGGGGCTGCTCTTTGTTGTGGTGCGCAGGCTTCTTCTCACTGTGGTGGCTTCTCTTGTTGTGGAGCACGGGCTCCAGGTGTGCGGGCTTCAGTAGTTGTGGCACGCAGGCTCAGTAGTTGTGGTTTGCGGGATCTAGAGCGCAGGCTCAGTAGTTGTGGCGCATGGGCTTAGTTGCTCCGCGGCATGTGGGATCTTCCCGGACCAGGGCTCAAACCCGTGTCCCCTGCATTGGCAGGCAGATTCTTAACCACTGTACCACCACGGAAGTCCAAGGCTACTAATCTTACTTTTTACATCATAAAGAGTCTCTTGATTTCCAGTGATACTAGAAAGAGAAGAGCCTTTATGCTATACTCAGGCAGGTTTAGCCAGAAGTCCAATTTTGTGAGCAGACCCAACAAGGTTATCCCTCGTATAGCTGAGCCTCATTCTCAAAGTTCTTTTAAGTTGTTGAGAAAATTCTTTTTCTCCCACTTCTGTAGTAATTTGAGTCCTGGCAAGAGATAGTCTACTCAAATTGGGAAGAGCTTAACAAAGGTATGGGAAGGATGATGGGAAATAACAAGGGATAATGGGTACCCCACATTAGTGATGGGGATGCCGTTACCACCCTTAGGCTAAAGGGGTCCCAGAGGAAGGGAGCTATAAGAAGGCTGTCCATACTCACAGATACAGAGAACGAACTAGTGGTTACCAGTGGGGAGAGGGAAGTGGGGAGGGGCAAGATAGGGGTAGGAGATTAAGAGGTACAAACCACAATGCATAAAATAAATATGCTACAAGGATATATTGTATAGCACGGGGAATATAGCCCATATTTTATAATAACTATAAATGGAGTATAACCTTTAAAAATTGTGAATCACTGTATTGTACACCTGTAATTATATAATATTGTACACCAACTATACTTCAATTTTTAAAAAAGAGAACAAATTAAAAAAAAAAAATTTAACCCTTAAAAAAAAGAAGGTGGCTTCCCAGTAGAAGCTGTTAACAGCCTTTGGTCTAAGAACACAGCCAACCAAAAGTGACCCTTCAGGGAAGGAGTCAAGAAATTAATACCCTGACCTCCCTCTCTTCTCTCCTTATGACTGCCTGCCCATGTTCCTTCCCCATTGGTGGAACCTAACTGGAAGCCAGAGGCAAGGGAGCCCATTGTAGTTGTCCAGACTGGTCACTGTCCCAGGGCACAGAGCAGAGCAGAGACGGTACAGAAACAATCCAGAGGAGCAGATGGAAGATATACAACCCAACTCCCATTTGGAACTGAGAATAATGGTGGGAAACCATGTCTCCTGCTGCTGTCCTAGACAGACTCCATTCAGTTCCAAATGAGGCAAAAACATCATGCCTCTCCATCCACTAAAGGCAGAACATGAAGAAATCAGCTAACACTGATTGGGAGAGAGATTAATTATCCCAAAAGTGTTCTACAGATTTAAAATAATCTGAAATAAAATCTCAGGAGTTTTGCGTGTGTCTATAGAAATTGACAACCTGATTCTAAGATTTATAATAAAAATAAAGAGGGCCAAGAATAGCAAAGACAGTTTTGAAGGACAAAGCTAGAGGATGGAATACCAATATATTATAAAGCCACAGGAATTAAAACTGATCATTAAGTAGTCCAGAAACTTTAGAATAGAAACAGAATACATTATACAGAAACAGACACTCAGCTATGTAGCCATTTGATTTACAACAAAGGTGCACATATAGCACAGAGGGAAGGGATGGTCCTTTCAGTACACGGTGCTGGGGCGGGGGTGGAGGTGACGATCTTTATCAACTCCCCCAATAACATATAAAAAATTCTATTACAGATGAATCATATGCATAAACGGGAAAGGTAAAACAATAAAGCTGCTAGAAGAAAACAGGAGAGTATCTTTAAGAGCTTGGGGTAGGCAAAGATTAATTTCTTAAATAGAATAGAAAGAAAAGACAAATTTGACTTCATAAAAATTTAAAACCCTCTCTTCATTAAAAGTCACCATTAAAAGATTTAAAACATAAGCTGCAAAGTGAGAGAAGATATAAACAATCCATATATCTGCCAAAGGACTTATCCAGAATAATCCCTATAAATCAAATCAGAAAAAAGCAGACAACTGGTGAAAACACTGGGCAAAGATCTGAATAGGAGCTTCACAAAAGAAGTGCCGATAAATACCACCCACAAAGGGTGCCGAACACATTAGCCTTCAGGGAAACAGAAAATAAAATGACAATAAGATACTTTTACACACCCAGTAGGATGGTTAAAAATTTTTAAACTGATAATACCAAGTGTTGATGAGGATGTGCAGTGACTATAATACTCAATTGCTACTAGAGGGAGTATAAGCTATTCCAATCTATTCCAATAAGATATTTAGTTTTAATAGATAGTACTGTGTGCGGGACCGCAACATTTTTACCTATTAAAACTAAATATCTTATATCCTGTGAGCTAGCAATTCCACTCATAGGTATATAACCGACAGAAATGAGGACATATGTTCACCTAAAGA